TCGGGCCGCGCTCCTCCTCGGGGCGGGCTGCTGCGGAGTCAGCTGACGCCGGCGCCCAGCCTCGCCGCCCCGCGCCCTCCGCGCTCCCCCAAAGCGGCTGCCAGCCGGACGCCCACTTTCAGGGTTCAGGGGCCCGAGGAAGGGATGTGCGCGTTCTGACAGCTCGCGGAGCCGCCGCCCCGAGCAGCCCGGCTCCTGCAACTTTGCGCCCCTGCGCGCGGTCTCCAGCCCCGCTGCGCCCTCCCCAGAGCCGCCTCGGCGGGGTGCGCGCCCCGGGCAGGGGTCGTGGCGGCGGGGATGGCTTCCAATTTCAATGACATAGTGAAGCAGGGGTACGTGCGCATCCGGAGCAGACGCCTGGGGGTGAGTACCCGCCCTCCGGGTCTCCGGCGGGCGTCCGCGTCCGGCCCGGCATCCGAGCTCGCGGCGCGGCGCGCTGAGCACGGCGCTGGGCTCCGGCCGCCCCGGCTGCCTGGCTCCCTCCTTCCCGGGCTACCGCTGGGAGGCCGGGCCGGCTGTGTCATGGAGCTATCTTTATCTCGCGGATGACTTGGCTTTCTGATGGTGGCCGCGTGTTCGGCTGCAGTAGCCCCTGGAGCCCATCTACTCGGAATAAATATTTCTCGGTAGCCATGGGAGTTGGAGGCGAGAAGCCGGGCGGGTGCTGAGCCTGCGGGTGCCCCCCGTGCCCCTGTTCCCGCTGCTTGCCCGGCACTTCACTTTTCCCGGGGGTACCCTGGCCTGGCCGGGAGCGGGGACGCACGCTCACCGTGGGAACAAGGTCAGTGACCCCTGACCCCAGGGAGAGGCCTCTGCCAAGCGAAGTGTGTCCCCGGACTACGGGGCTGGCAGCGTCCGCTTCTCTTCCAGGGGTTGGCAGCGGCCCCTGGACACGGCCAACTTCCTGTAGATGCCCGCGTCTGAACTGTCCCTTGTCCTTAGCCTAGGGGTGGATTTCCGTTGCTGGAATACACAGTGGAGACCCACGGGGAGATTATTTCCTAGGAGCGTGATGCCTGACCCAGCGCAGGTGCTTTCTGAGCTGCACGAAAGAATGAATGGGTGGATCTGAGGGTGCCTGGGGGCAGACGCTGGCACAACTCCCCGTCTTTGGTCCTTTCTCTCTGCGGTGGGGGGGAGATGGAGGGGGCTTCAGGGCGGAACCAGCCTGCCTGTGTTTGGGTTTGAGGAATGGAGGATACTGGACCTATTTTTATTTATTTATTTTTTTAAATTTCACACTACCTCCTTCGCCCTTGTCTCACGTCAAGTACCGCTGCTGGCTTAGCTGGTGCCGGCACTGGGGCGAGGCAGCGGCGGCGGAGAGTGGCAGAGGAAAGTTTCCTTTACTTCTGTCTGAAATGAAGTGTCCGAGACGGCCACACTGAGGGGCCTGCGCAGCTGACGACCTCTCTCTACAAATTTGTGTTGTTTGGCCCGTCTGTCTTATTTTAGTCTCTGGACTTTTTTTTTTTTTTTTTAAATCAGGTAATTTTCCTGAAAACTGAAAAGAAATTTCACAGTGGTAAACACAACCAGGGAAGAGTCAGACATGGGAAGAAATGTCCCTAGTTATTATAAAACTCTTGCCTGACCTTTGGGCCCTTTTCTTTCTGTTTTCCCTGCTAGTTACCAGGTTTTAGCATTTATTTCCTGTGCTTTTGTGAATGCATAAATATATAATGAGGGAGAAATGTAACAGGACTACCCACTCCCTGTGAGCTTGGCCAAAGTTTCATTGGTTTTCTTTTCCACTATGCAAACCCCTTGTGAGCAAGAGCAGCTATTGCTGGAGTATTTAACCAAGTCACTCCTATAATAGGAACTTTGTATTTTTGATAACCATATGGTCTGGCTGAGTATCACAATTAGAAAGAGACCATTGAGAAGCATTCCAGGTTTACATTTACTCCATCATGTCAACGGAGGGAATTGATAATAGACGTTCATTCTGTGTTAGGGAGCACTCCAACAGGAAGAGGATATGCATTATTAATACACAAAATATGAATTATTCATGAGGATCAGACTTTATGCCAAATTATGACACATGGTGATTTATGTGAAACACTGGTTACCATCACTTCTGAGTTTGTAGTGACTGAAATTATCTTTCTGTATTATTATAATTAACCCAATATCGTTCTGGGTGTGTACCAACATTATGGACTGATGTTTGAAAAAAAAGGAAAAGAAATATAGTTGATCCTGCATTTTTTTTCCTATTTTTCAGTAGTTTGGGTATCAGTGAACAGTATACTTTCTCAAGATTTATTCTTTTTGTCTATGTTGATATTCAAATAGATAAGAGAAACTCCATTATTACATTATGGTTATTGCTGATGGAGGGTAAAAAAGATAAAGAAATATGGTCAAATAAATCTGGTCCTATTAACATTTGTTTTATCAATAGTTAATTTTTAAAAATGTTCTTGGGGTATAATTTACAGAAGAAGCTCATAACATATTTTGTCCATCCACGATGCAAACTTAAGTTCTTTTTTTTTTTGTGGTACGGGGGATTGAACTCATGACCTTGCATTTGCTAAGCAGGCACTTATGCCACTGAGCTATATCCCCAGCCCCAGCAAACTTAAGTTCTGATGGAACTTGAAAGGAATGGTGAGGGAAGCTTTGGGGAGTAACAGAGCGACCCTCTGTCCACATCAGGAATGCCAGTGGCGAGCGAGGCTGCACATGGCCCAGAGCAGCACGTGACATACGTATTCTAGACACGTGTGTAAATCTAAGAGAGAGTATGTCTGGCACAGAGTAGGCGCACAGCAAGTGCACGCTGACACGCAGTGCGCCATGTGGTGAATACACCTCCTTGAGATTTGTAGCCCTCTTTAGGAACTAAGATGACAGTGGCTGTATTAATGGCATACAGACAAGTGTCTGCGCATGATAACCATGTTGGGGAGGGTTTATAATTAAACAAGAAAACAGCATTTAATGGTAAGCAGCTGTCGTGTCAAGGAATGCTCCTTCAAGTTTGGAAAAAGAGGAGATGGGGCCGAGTTCTGCTTGTATTCTTAGCCCTGTGACCCTTAACCCCTCTTGGCCTCAACTTTATAGTTAAAGAAAACTATTTAGTAGTGGTCTTGAGAAGATTCGATGCATAGCATCTCAGATTGTGCAATGGAAATATACATCGCTATGACTGTATTATTTAATATCATCCAAGATGAGATGCACATATGCATTATGTAATGTTTAAATCATGGTGACTAGATCTACCACTAATATTAGCATTTCTTTAAAATGCTGAAAACATTTTAAAGAGCACAAATGTGCAGCTCTGGATCTTTTCACTGGATGAAGCTTATTACAAAAGCTGCATATCTATTATACAGTTAAGTGAATTTTTCCAGTGGGACAAGAAATGTTCTAAAAACACTTTCACACAAATGGGCCACACACAGATGGTCACTTTTAGCTGTGTTCCTAAACTTTATAAATGATAAGCAATCAAAAGTGTGTAAACTTACTCTTTCCTTCAAACATCAAACAGCTTCATGAAATTCAACTCATTTAATTCAAAAGTCTCAGCAAGTGCACATCTGCATTCCCCAGCCTGGTCTGCACTGGCTCATGCAAGTCTCAAGCGGTGCCCTGGGTACAGCGCTGGTGCAGGAATGTTGATGTTACTATTTGGGGAGTAGCGCGGAGTGGAAGGGGAGCAGCTATCTATAATTATCTAATTCTCAGAATGCTAAAAATTCCTCTTTAGATGAATAGTGGAGCAGGCGATTTGAGCATCCCTGCCCTGCTTACTGTGTTACTTCGATGAATCGTGTTAAGACTTCACTTGGTCTCTTTCCTTAAAATGGAGGGGATTTGTCAGTGATTGCCCTGGCCTGGTCTCAAGGAACACCTCAGAGCTTAGACCTATATTTTTGTATATGTACGCTATCCCTCCTTTACTTGCTTTTCAGAAACCTCCCTCTGCTCTTGTCTATTTAGAATATAACACATGGACCATTTGAAGTCCATACGGTCAGAGTCTCCTTTCTACGCCACGTCCCACTTGGACTTCTAACAGAGGTTTCCGCCTTAGCGCACCTAAACCCTTGACTCCCACCCATACCTGCTTCTCCTAGAGTTGCCTCCATCCCAGTCACTAGAGGTCCCAACTTTATTTTTTTGTTTTACTGAAAAAAGGTAAGACAGAATTTCATAACGAAATAATAGGGGAATAACAACAGTTAATATATTCCATATTGTTATCTTCAAAGTAGTTACTCTGAGTACAAGATATTGACGTAAAAAGTTCTCCAATTGATATTAGCATGAACCTTCCTTTTCAGTGAACTAAGAGACACTAATGGTATTTTTCTCTGGTATTTTTCTCTCTTTTCCCTTCCTTCCTGTTCCTTTTCTCCCATCCTTGTCTCTTTTTCCTTTTAAACAATTTCTTCCCATTTCACCATATCTGATGTACATTTTAGACCTTATTTACTCTTTCAATTTCTCACACCGGGAAGACAATACATTGTTTACACATGTGAGTCTGATTTATTTCACTTATGGGTATGGTCTCAAGTTGCATCCATTGACCTGTAAAAGTCTCAAGTTTATCTTGCTTTAGAGCTGAGTAGTATTCCATTGTATAAAAGGACCATGTCTTTTTTATCCATTCCTCGGTTGATGGGCATTTGAGTTGTTTCCAAGATTTAGCTATGACAAATTGTGCTGCTATAAACATGGGTGCACGTGTATCACTGTGGTACGATGTTTTTAATTCTTCTGGGGAGATACCCAGAAGGGAAATAGCTGGGTACAATGGGAAAAGCCTCTCTTCTTTGTGGTCCCAGTGATCGAACTCAGGGCCCCTTGCATGCTTGGCAAGTGCCATTGAGCTATACCCCCAGCGAGGTCCCGACGTGTTGGTCACCCACATACAAACCAGTCGCCAAGGAAGCAAGCAAGCAGGCAAGTGAAACCTGGTGTCATGTCTCGTCTGCCTTTAATCTTTTATCTGGTCACTTCTATCTGGCCATCAAAAGACTCTGTGGGCTCTGTCTTGAAATACATCTAGATTATGAGTCTTTCCATCCATCTATCCATTACAGCCAGCCTGGTCGAAGCCCCATCCTCTCCTCCCTTCCCTGCAATGAGCCAGCTTCCTCATTTTTCTCCCTACCTGCACCCTCGCTCTCTTCAGCCCATCCTTAGTGCCCCCCGAAGGGACCCTTGGGAACTGTGGGACGGACAGCTCATCTGGCTGTGGGAACCAGTGGCTGTGCTGCTTCAGCCCCTTTCTCCCGTTCTTCCTCTTTGAGTGCTGTTGCCCCCGGTATCGCCTCCTGGCCCTCTCACTCCCTCTGTTCCTCACATACCACCTTCTCAGAGAGGCCTTC